TCCTGGAGAAACGTTTCCTTTATTGTCCCTAACTGTACCTAAATGCTTTCTTCCACTCGCCCATTACAAAACACCATCTGTTCCTACTCTTTGATAACAATGACCAGCTGTCATATCTTAAACCTGGCCTTTTATTTTTTCTTGTGGGACAATAAAATCTCCTTTGATGTACCTTTGTGTATTCATAAACCAAAATTCCATATATATTATATAATATATATAATATATATATATATATATATATATATTATTAGTTGGGTATTTTGTAGATGGGGAGTAGCTGGAAAAATTTCTTCTGATGACCATTTCAGTTAGAGCTTTTAACAATTTGACAGAGGCCTACCACCGGTCCATCAGGTGAAAAGTGTTAGATTTGATCACAGAATATAAGAGGTAGGCCTACCACGTATACTTGTGTATAATTTGGATATACTTCAGTATGTCGCATATTATTTCATTGAAGTATATAATTTATTTCATTGCCTTGGTTGTTTTATACTTGAGTATTTGCAGATATATTTAATATATTATTGTCCACAATTTCCTTTGCGAAATTTCTTTTCTTCGCTACTTCATATAGCACTGTCTCTCTCTCCTCTCTCTCTCTCTCTCTCTCTCTCTCTCTCTCTCTCTCTCTCTCTCTCTCTCTCTCTCTCTCTCTCTCTCTCTCTCTCTCTCTCTCTCTCTCTCTCTCTCTCTCTCCCTCTTTCTGTAGAATAATTTCATCTTCTATAGTCCAAAATATAATATTTTTATTCACATAAATCTTGCTATAGTATTTAAAACAATATTTGAGCACTGTGTGTGTGTACTCACCTAGTTGTGGTTGCAGGGATCGAGTCATAGCTCTTGGCCCCACCTCTTCACTGGTCGCTACTGTGTGTTTGTGTGTGTGTGTGTGTGTGTGTGTGTGTGTGTGTGTGTGTGTGTGTGTGTGTGTGTGTGTGTGTGTAACAAAAGCCTCAACAGTGTTATATTGACTGTACTGTAGCGTCTGCTCGGAATGTCTCCCGTTTTCTGTTCACGCTTCAAAGATTATTCTCTGGTATTTTTTTGCTGTTATTGTGGTTGCGGTATGTTATAATAGGAAGTCGACTTAAGGAGCTGACGGGTTGCAGTTGCAGGGAACCTGTTGCACCTGCACAAGGACATGTGTTGCAGTTATGTGCGTGCTTGGGCAACCAGTCTGATATAAGCCCGGCTTTTCTTAAATGTTGTAGGTTCAGGGTAAAATTATTGCAAGATCAAGGAATATATACATGGTACAAACTCAAGGAGGGATGTATATATGTCGCGAGACCAGTGGTAGTGTGCCAGTTACAAGCTGATGGAGTGTGTATATATATATATATATATATATATATATATATATATATATATATATATATATATATATATATATATATATATATGCAAAACAACCACTCTGAAAGAATAGATCAATTCCAAGCGCTTTCGTGACTACTCACATTATCAAGGAACTGTGAAAGTAAAGCATCCAAGGAAGGTATATAAGGGGTCTGGCCAACACCTCACTATCAGATCCCACAACGGTTAAACACCTGACGCGCGCCGACCCAACTGGACAGGTCCTTTGCACAACCCACCAACAAACTATTCTACCCAAGAAAATTTTTAAAATTATTATTTGTCCAGTGTATTATTAAATTCTTCCCAAATTCTATTAATTATAAATGGATCTAATTTATATAAACCAAAGAAAATATTCGTATTATTGTCAAAACTGCTTTTTATGAAACAAGATTCAATTATATTCCTGTCGACCATGGACTTGCTTGATACTACTTTCTCAACTTTTTGAAAATCAATTGGATGGTTAAAATCTCTTACATGAATAAATAGAGCATTGGAATCTTGTCCAGTTCTAATGCTATATTTATGTTGTTTTAATCTTAGTTCGAGATTTTTACCAGTTTGACCGTAATAAACTTTATCGCAAATTTTACAAGGAATCTTATAGACACATCCATCAGCATTTTGGGGGGAATTCTTTATCAAAAGTTTTTTTTACTGTATCAAGATTTTTGAATACAACTTTAATATTAAAAGTCTTAAGAAGAGAAGGCATATCAACCAAGTTTTCATGGTAAGGGAGAACCAACAAATTTTTAGTTGAATAAGGCTGGTTGTCCCTTTTTGGATTGTAAAAAGTATTTCTAGCAACTTTAAAAGATTTATCCATTACATTTATATATATATATATATATATATATATAATGTTACACCTTCAAAAAGATATATATATGCTACAAGATCAACGGGGAAGGGGAGGGGGGAGGAAGAATGTGCGTTAAAGTCTCAAATAGGTATATACATACTGCAGTCACACAGACGTATATTCGTACGTGTTACATGTTCATGGGGGTATATTTATATTGGAATCTCAAGGAGGAATATACATGTTACAAGCTTAAGTGGGCATATACTGTACATGTTGCAAGTTTAATTGGATATATACTGTACATGTTGCAAGTTTAGGTGTTGAGAAAGTCGCAAGCCCAGGGGGAGATATTTGAGTGGTGATGATCATGGCGTCACAGCCAGAAGGTCATGCAGAACTACAGGCACACAAGAAGACCTTATTGCCAAAGGTCTGACGCTCCATCCATCCCACCTGGTGGGAGGGAGACGGACCTGTTCTGATGCTCTCTCCATCCCACTTGGTGGGAGGGAGGAGGAGCTGGTCTGGCCCCTCCATCCCACTAGGTGGGAGGGAGGAGGAGCTGGTCTGACGTTCCCTCCATCCCACCAGGTAGGAGGGAGAAGGAGCTGGTCTGACGCTCCCTCCATCCCACCAGGTGGACGCCAGCTTCCGTGTACAGATTTTAACTTCACAACTGTCCTCTCCATCTATCATTCTCTTATTGCAGGTTTCAGACGTGGAACTACTGGTACCATTAATGTAATTTTAAGACAGTGGCATCAACGGATTACCTTTCCTCTAACCTGTAATCATTTTACTACGCTCGTTTTCTTACCGTTTACTCCAGTGAATGTCTTAACAGATTATCAGAAACACTGCTGAGAGAAGTGTAGAAGTTTTCAAGAGGAAATTGGACAAGTATCTTCACCAGGTGACAGGCCAACCAGGCTGTGATAAATATGTAGGTCAACGGGCCACGGGCAGCAACAGCCTGGTTGACCAGGCAAGCACCAGGGAATAGAATAACTCTCGGAATTCGTCAGAGGTGAAGATACAGGATTCGAACACACGGCAAGCCACTGCAAAGACTTTCAAGCCAGTGTGTTAACCACTTTAACATGCAACCCTAGTATCATCCAGCTAGGTGTATGGTGAGGGGCTCTTGATCTAAGGATCTGGAGCTGTGCTTCAAGTCCTTGACTCGAGCCTGAATGCCTTCCATTACCTCCCCCCCCCAACCGGGGCACTATGTGACCCCCATGGGTTTAGCGCTACATCATGAATGTAATAATGTAATGTGTTCACTAGAATGATTTGCGCTGTCTTATTTTTTTTTTTGTGGTATTTCTTGTCTATTTTATGAGGTCTGTTTGAGACCGGATCTCGGGGGCGACGCTCCCCGACAATTTTACAGATCAAATAAAATAGTTTTAAGTGCTATTCTTTATTAATTTGTGTGTAAATATTATTGTCTTTAATACTGTAAATAATGAGAAAAAGCCAGCATGACTGAGCAGCTTGTGGGTGTCAGCCAAATCTTGATCTTTCCAGGATGGATCCTTGGTGTTCGTGAAGGGCTCTTGATCTAAGGAACTGGAGACACAATCTCCCTTCTGATCACATTTGACTTCACCCAACCCCTTCCATTTCCTTTGTAACTCTCACGAGTTTAGCGCTTCTATAAATAGCAAGTTGTATCAAAAACCTGTGTGTGTGTGTGTGTGTGTGTGTGCGCGTGTGCGTGTGCGTGTGTGCGTGTGCGTGTGCGTGTGCGTGTGCGTGTGCGTGTGTGTGTGTGTGTGTGTGCGTGTGCGTGTGCGTTAAACCAGTAAGGACTACACACAGCCTAGGGAATGGTAGCTCTAATTCTTTGGATCAAGAGCCCTTCACCCAGCATCAAGGATGTAGGCAAAGTGTCAGAGTAAAATTAAGGTGTGTAGGTCGTTGTCTGGACCAGACAGCGTCTGTCTTGCTGCCTCATGTCACTCACATGAGCAAGACACATCTACATCAGTTGGGTATCTACACTGTTGAAACGTTTCGCCTACACAGTAGGCTTCTTCAGTCAGATACAGAGGCAGCAGGTGTAGTAACGTAATGAAGATGATGTAATCAGTCCACACTATTTCTCCAAGGTTGGTGGACTGATTACATCATCATCATTACACTACTACACCTGCTGCCTCTGTATCTGACTAAAGACACCTGCTGTATAGGCGAAACATTTCAACCATATAGATACCCAACTGTTGCACATGTGTCTTAATCATCAGCATGTAACGTGTTGCATCATCATATCACTCACAATACTGTGTAAAAGATTAAGGCGGTCATATTTATATATACACAGTTTATGTAGACGAAATCTGTATTGAGCCATTACACCTTCTGCGATGTTCTTGTGTTTTTGTTTACTCTAGGAGTGTGTCAAAGTATCGATACTGGTATCGGCGGGTATCAGCTAATTTTGAGGGGTATCTTTATCGGCCTATAATTGAGTATCGGTATCGGTAAAAACCATTTGCTCTCGTCACATCTCTAGTTGGAAGTCACGTTTGTGTATCTATCTATGCCAGATCCATTACCTGTGCATCCGTTGGGCTTTTGTAGAATGTCACAGTAACGTGGCTGGAACACTTGACAGCTCACTTACAAATCGCGAACGTAAACAGAAAAAGTTTCGCTCCGCCCTGGATCATTATCCAGCCGCGACTGCTTGGGCTGCCTGCACTACCACACACCATTAACACTGATGAGAATGATCCATGACTCATTTTTTTAAATTTTGATTTACTTGTAAGTTCCTTTTATGTTTTACATTTACGTATGTTACGAATATGTGTTGCATAAAATGGTCATGTGTTGTGTTCCGCAGGTGCTGCTGGTGTCGAGCAAGAAGAAGGACTGTATCTCCTGGCTGGTGCCCGGAGGAGGAGTGGAGGCTGGGGAAGAGATCTCTGAGGCGGCAATGAGAGAGGCCTGGGAAGAGGCTGGTGTCCAGGGCAGCATTGACAGATACCTGGGACTTTTTGAGGTGAGTTCCCCGTGTTATTTAACCCATTTTGCTAAGATAATATTGATATTTTATTGTAATTTAGGGTAGTGATGCAGACTTAAATAGAGCGATGGTTCGGTGGTGTTTGGAGGGTAATACTCTTCCCATGGGTGTTATCAGTGGCACTAGCAACAACGTTAACGGTACAGTGACTTTTACCTTGTACCTTGTCAGAGTTCACAGGTTCGAACATAAACTGTTGTGGTGCTTGGTTGAGCTAATTTTTTTGGTTTCCTGTTCTGCTTGATAGTCATAGTTTGCTCTCTCCTTAAGGAGTGTTATTTACAGCCGGTAATTAGTTTACTTCAGTAAAACTACGTTAACCTAACCTCAGGTATCCTATGTAGAGAAAACGCTTACATCTATATAGAATAAATCTAACGTCGTTTGCCTGAAGTTTAGTTAGAGTCCCTTCCGGAGGTCACTGCCCAGCTGCCCGGTCCCAGACCAGGCTTCCTATTTGCTGGTATGATCGATCAAGCTGTTAGTGCCCTCTGTTTGCAGTCCAACATTTGCACTACAACCCGGCTGATCAGGAACTGTTTTGAGGAATCTCAAGTTCCCTCTTGAAGACAGCCAGGGGTTGGTTGGTAATCCCCCTTATACATGAAGGGAGTGTGGTGAAGAGTCTTGGTCACTTAATACTTATTGAGTTCTATCTCAGTGTGCTCATCTCTTCCCTGCTTTTCATCGAAGGTATCCTGCACCGTCTTCTAAGCCTCCTGTTTTCATAAGTAGTAATTTCGGTGTGCATGATTGGAGCCAATCGCTCTAGTATGTTCCAGGTGTAAATTATAATGTATCTTTCTCGACTACGTTCTGTGACGTAGCAGGACAGAAAACTTAATCAAGTCTAACTTTTATCTGCAACTTCTAGTGTATATGTATGCTGAATGTTTTTGTAACGGTTGATTCATAGCTGCTGATCTAGTTTCTTAATTATCACGAACCTTACTGATTATCATCCTCTAGAACCCTCATAATACCTATTGTTGAAACTGTTGATGTTTGATCCCATCTCTTCATGTGCTCTTTTCTACTCCATAAAATGGCTAAAAAAAATGTTTCGTATTTCCTGGTAACTCATCTGTGATTTGATCTGCTGTCTATGATCCCTGCTCGCTCTTTCTCTTCTCTTCTGTAAGGCTAGGTCACCTAACATGGTGGGAAGGTTTAAGCGGCTTAGACGGACCAAGAACCCAGTAAAACCACTCAATTTATTTGGTTTACAAAGCGAAGAGTTTTCCGATAGAAAGGAGCAGTGTTAATTATTCCCCCTGTTCTCTCTCTCTCCCTCTCCCACTGCGGTCCTAAAAGAGACTGACCAGTCAAGGGGAGGGGCGGGGGCATTCTGGTGGACCATCTGACTGCTCATTTGGTGACGGAAGTATTAATGGAGGTACGTCACCTCTTGATCCAGGGGCGGTGACTGAAGGTGTATAGCTCTATGTTCTTCTTGGTTCGCCATTACCCACAACTATTTGAATGTTGCTAGTGTCTCCTATGCTTCCAGTCTCAAAAGGAGGTTTTGCTAAGCCTTGCTTGGTTAATTCTGAGGCTGTCCACTGGGTACTGTAGGGGCTGGTCCTGGTAAAAACGACTCTGCTTGTAGAATTGGTGTCAAGTGTAGCCTCTGACAGCCTCTGTGAAGATATGATTCATGGCAGACCCAGGCAACTGGTTGCTCTCTCTCGCCCTCTCCCGGATTCCACTCCCATTTTGGAAGATAACTCTTTAGACATTCCAGTACTGGGCTGTAATGTTCATAAGAATGCTGATGTTATCTCTCTCTTGCAGTGTTGAACAAGATATTTCCTACCGGAATGACAAGCAATTTTTGTGGTGCTAGATTTATTACCTTCTTTGATGTAACGATTGCGGAGGTGTTTTAGTGGTGGGTCATCGGCACCTTTGTCAGTGCCATGGAAGACAGTTCATCTTATCTTTCACATGCCGTTGAATGCGATCCGACTCCAACTAGGCTAATTACTGACAAGTCTGAAGCGGCAGTTAGAAGCAGAATGTGGAGAAATCTTACAGCCTTACATCTGCCAGATCCCGAAATATAATCTGGTAATCAAGAAATGTGGACCTGTGCAGGGTTTTGTGATTTCTTATATTGCGGCGAAGAATGTGCTTACACTGATTATTGGAGCCTGTGTCGTGGCATTGTTTCCCGTTGATTTCTAAATTTAGAACGAGAGTGATGTGGACATTCGGCTTGAGTTCAGGAGTGGTTGAGGTTCAGAGGATTAAGAAAAGTGTACTGTGTCTGTGTTTATGTGAACACTAATTTACTGGTCATGTTCGACCAACCGGACCATTCCCTTTACATACTAGTTATTACGATGAGATATCTGTATTTAAAACTATACAATGTTTCACGTACCAGAAGCTTGGTCACTAGAGAACCAAGTGCAAGGTAACCCAAGACACTTTTATTTCACTGGGCACCGACTTCAACACTTCTCATTCTTGTGCTGGTGTGTTTCAGTTTCACAATTGTGGGGAGCAGTGACCATTTACCTTGTGTTGTTTTGGGGTAGCAGAAGCTTGCCTTCCTCAGTCAGCTAGCTTGTGGTTCTGTTTGTCAGTCCCATGGTGGAACAGGCTCTTAAAAAAAAAAACGCTGGACTGTGTGGCTAGTTAATAAGATGATATACCAGCGAGTGTTTGAGAGTGTTCAGAAACGCTCTTCGGACTTTCTGGATTTATTATGTGAAAGGGGTTAACTTTAATACTTCTCCCACATGGATATCGAATGAGATTGGAAAGATATCTGGGAAGTAATCCTCGAGCCTTCTCCATCTGAAGCAGGTGTTGGATGACCCTTTTAAAGTGACCATCACCCTTGTTGAAGGTTTATTCTGTCTCTAGCGTCTGGAATTACAGTCATGAGTTCCAAGCTCGGAAGCTTTGGGATACGTTTTCCCTGCCCTTTTCTTAGGACTTTGTGGGGTATTGTGATTTGTTGTTTGGGATGGGGGATCGTAGTTGCCTTGTTAACATCGCCCCAACAGCTTTGGTCCATAACAGCATGTGTCATCTCCTACCTGCCTTAATAACGTTTTTATTGGCTACGTTTAATTGTATTTGGATAGGTTGGGTAGTTCCTAAGCTAGCACCAAACAAGCCTGGCCTAGGGCCGAGCTGCGGGAGTAGGAAAACTCACAACCCGTCAAAGGTACATTAAAGATAAAGGTCCCCATGACTGGTGGCAGTCTTTAGTTCTGGCAAACCTCAAGGAAGGTCTGAACTCTAGGGTAACTGTGAACTACGGCCTGATTTCTCTGACTAGCTACACCTGCAAGTTTATGAAGAGGATGCTGAATGCTTATTGGTTTTAGTACTTGAAGGCGAGAAGCTGCATCTCCTTGGTGCACTTTGGTACCTGAAAGTTCTGGTGGACAATTGACCCCTTGACTCGGATGGTTGATGATATCCAGGAGGTTTTTTGCCAGATGCCTTCAAGCTTTAAAAGTTTCTTCGTCCTGGAAAAACCTAATGAAGTGATTCGACACTCTTCGCCGTTCAGACTCTTTGACTGCGTTAAGTGGTTCAATAAGTTATCTGTTAAGTGCAAAGCTTCCTGTGCCTTTTCGTGTTCGGATGTGGCCCGCTCTCCTGGGTTGTGGCCTCGATGTGCCTGCGGTCAGATAGGTTGCAAGCTCTCTTTGGGCAGTACCTGAGGTACGTCTTAGTAAGCAATTAATGGAGACTCCAATGTAACGACCTCCAATGATAGCCTTGGTTAATTTCTTGGAGCAGTTTTATTTTATGCTTCAAGGATAAAGGTTTTTATTGGTGGGCTAAAGAGCAACAGTGGTGTTGTCCTTGCAGTTATCTCTGGATAGGATTCTTATTGTGCTCAGTTACCAAATGAATCCTCTCTGTTCACTGCAAACTCTATCCATTCCTCCCGTTTTTGTATTGATAGTTGTATGGGGTCTCTGTTCACTGTCTGCTTTGATTTCTGGTGCGCTGTTTCTCATAGCCTACTATAATTCTGTCCACTCAGTGGTCTAGAAGATCCAGGAATGAATTAGGCCAGCTCCTTGCCTGTTGCCTCCTGCGTTATATTGGTGACCCGGGAAATGAACGGTCAGAGGCTAAGGTGAAGGCTGCTGTTTTAAACTCTCTATATAGCAGACATCTGCCTCAAAATGATAGACCTCATACATCGATATGTCCTTGGAAAGTGACAAACCCGGTGGGCCCGGCAGACAAGAAGCAGGTTATACAAGGCTCGGCAGGACGTAGGTGTTTGGCTTATTCCTCCAACAGGAATCCTCACTGAGACTACTCTGTCAATTAAGAATTAGGCACACACACACACACACACACACACACAACACACACACACACACACACACACACACACACACACGTCATCCTTAGCCCTCTGGCTCAGTCTGTGTTGCTTGTGACAAACAACTGATTGTGGAACACATAAGTATGTACTCCATGCTTGCTGCACACACTTGATTGTGATAATTCTGTGTTTTTACTCAACACTGATCAACAAGGCCGACCAGGATAATTTTCAACAGGTTTCTGTATGAATATTTTAGCAATATTCCGGAGTGGAGACACCACCTTCATTTTATGTTATCTTTCTTCTAAGCTAATTATTATTATTATTATTATTATTATTATTATTATTATTATTATATTGTTTGTTGTTGTTGTTGTTGTTGTTGTTGTTGTTGTAATTAATGATGACATTCATGCGGTTAAATTAAATACGTGACATGAGAACCCCAAGTTAAATAAGTCTTCATTTATGATCATGTTCCGTTATATGGCTGTTACAAACCTGTGAACAGTTTAGGAAGTTTTTTAACTCTCACTGCCCGGTCTGGGATCAGACTTTCCCGGTGAATTCCTGAGCAGCCAGGCTGTTGATGTTTACAACCGCCGGCCAACACATAGTATGATTGATCCAGCACTTCCTGCAGGAACTTTCCATTGTTTCTACC